GTGTGTGTATGTATGTATGTATGTATATGTGTGCATGAACATATGTATATATATATATATGTTTGCGTGTCTGTGTGTGTGTGTGTGTGTTTTAGTATTTATGTATTAATATACATGTCTTTGTCTCATTTACTATAAATCTATAGTTTTAATGTATTTGAAAGAATTGATCGTTGTTACTGTTGTGATGATTTCTATATTTTTTCCTGTAACTGTGGCTTGTTAAAAGATTGTTTTCTAGTCTTGTGTGTCTTGCTTTGAAGGTGCATCTTGTGGACTCGACGTCCGTTGAACGAGATGACTGCTACTCGCATCGGTTGACTCGGATCTAAATTGTATTCTTCCTCTATCTCTTTATTAAGTCATATGTGTCCAAGGTGAAAAGACACCTACAAAGTATCAATGACCGCATGGACCGACTCGAAACATTGTAAGTTCCCTGAATTTTTGTCCCGTTTACTATTCCTTCCTTCCGCTACTCCTGCGCGTTTGCCCACCTCATGGTCGGTTTTAGAGCATGTTGTACTTTTCATAGTTGCCCAAAGCGTGGTTGCTGTACGTAATTGGTGCGAAAAGCCAATTTTTGACTACTTCAATCTTTGCTATCGGATATACGCCAATGTCGTTATGCCCTTTATCATTAATCTAAACTTATACAAACGTAGATTCGAAGCTCCGCTAGCATCATCTGTTTCTGTTCATAACCTAGCAATAGACGTCTCTTATTAGCTGTTATCTTTAGATTGACGTACTCATAACTGTACATCGCTTTCTTTCACTGAAGGATGGTCAAGATCAACAGAACTATTGCTGTTTACCACCTGACTGGTTTGAAGGCCAAAATTTTAAAGATGCTCGAGGAAAAATTGCGGTAGGATTCTTTGTGTGTGTATTTAATCTGATCCGAATACCAATATAACAATATATCGAGTGTTAACGTGAAGCATCATTTCCAGTTTGTCGTTTGTGATGGTTACTGTTTCACTTGTATGTTAAGCTGTTGTATTTCGGAAACCACGTGCTGTGTATAACGAGCAGAGTTTTATCTAAGAATGTCTGTGCAGCATCATATATATGCCAGTCTACTACTTAGTATTCCAATTGCAATAATTCATCGTCGACTATCAAATAGCAACCATTTAATATATCTACGCCTGATAACTCACTCACTGTTGTGTAGGGATGTAACCATCAGTGAGGCGTCGCAAAGTGGCCTACAGATGCTCATCAATGAGTTGGTCTCGTGATGGTGTCGCCAAGGATTGAGTAACTTATAGCCTGATGTGTGGAGTCGAGTATTCTTCATTCGGATCAGAAATCGACTTAGTGGATTGCTTTGATATCTCAGTTCCACATATAATTGCAGCTGACAACATTGCTGAACATATTGCAGTGAACACACTGATGAAAATTAGTCGACCAACGGCTAAGAATAATTCTTCGTCACAATCATATTTGGGAATTTGCAAGGAGGAGCTCTCAAACCATCCGCTACGCTTTTGATATTTATCTTTAAAGCACGACAAACCTAATATTTTTTGGTCGCCGACTGTTGCCTCACAGACAATTTTGAGACGAGTTAGTCTGTAATGACATTTGGAATGCACATCCCGATTTTTCCTAGCTGAATGCCATGATTACACATACTATATCCACATCCTGCCCATACACTACTATGTGCGTCAGCGGGATACTCAAGGTGCAATAAATGCTCAACTTATAAAATTTTGCAACTGATTTTAAAAATTATATAGGAACAACCAATTTTTGACTTTGCAAATGATTTTTGTAATTCTATTGGTTTTTTATCAGATTTCGATTGAGTCAAAGTGATCTTGGGATTCAGAACCTAGATGAATAAATAGTTTAGTCGCGGAGCAACCTAAGAAATTGGATCTCTCGCATGTGAGCACTATCGCTATGGTATAATCGCAATCTGATTAGATTAATCCGAGGAATGATGGGCAAGTGTGCAACTGTGCTGGTGCAAAATAATCTATAAATAGTTAATTTTAGTTCAAATTGAAGGTAAATTACTCAGAATACCATATTTTCGCGGAAGTCTAAACTAAACATATGTCACAGAATATGAACTACTTTAAAATAATGCACGTAATTGCTGCGCACTGATATCAAGGCATTTGCTCTTGGTGCACGCTGAGTGCTATTAGAAATAATTAGCTCATACACGAATCTAACATCAAATTGCAATAGTCGCTAACGTTGTGTAGATCTGAAACTAGGACTTTTACATACAGAAGACGTTAATACGACCAATTACATATCACACAAATCTCAATACATCTCCGTCGTTCAAACATCTATGTGCTTACACAACCTTGAAAGTTATCAAGCCAGAGTTCACAAATTTTCTCATACTCTCCGATATGGGATACGTTTGTAAGTCTTCACTCATAGTTTCAGATGTGCGGGCCGACGTACATTCGATTTCAGACTTTTAATATTCACTGACGCCAATTTTACATCACGATAACGGATAACCTGTCACAATCTTTGCGCGTGGGTTTTCGGGTTTTAAATTTTAAAAATAGATAAATCTGAACTCGGCAGGATGTCTTTGCTACAAATTAAACTCTTTTTTTTTTCATGTATTTTTATATTGCTCGACCAACACAAGGATAAAAAACCAACTCCACGGAAGTCGTTTACCTGTATTGATTATGCAAATCGGTTTTATATTGCTCGACCAAAAAATGAGGAAAAAAACGCCTCTGTGGATATCGTTTACCTCCTGTATTGATTATGGGACGCTTTGTTGGTGCCCATAGCTAGTATTGACAGTCAGACAGTCAATTCATTGGTGTAGGGCCAGTCAGGGTCCCCACCTACTAGCCGCTGAGTCAGTCAGAAGAGTTGTATGTTC